GGGAGTGATTTCTCGCTTTCTGTCTCTCTGTCTCTCTCTGTCTGGCGAGTGCACGTGCCCTATAGCAAAAACCTCTTCAAAAAAAAGAAAAAAGAAAAAAGAAAACCACTGGCCTTATAGGGAAGGGGGTAGACTAAGGGTTGCATTTCAGTTGAAGATAGTTTGTAAACTAAGCACATAGAGAACTAACGAAATACAGAGGACTCAGGGTTATTCAAGCCTGTGTTTGTTTACACAGTGGGTCAGCATATTTGGACTCATAATAGTCTTAGAGAAGCTGGAGGCCCAGCTCACTTCTATAACTACATCCTATTCAATCCACTGACACTTTCTCTGACAGCTTTGTGAAAGGTTGTGATCTCCGTCTTTTTCCTGAAAACTAAGTATCTACTGTCTATACTTTCCACCTTTCAGGAGCCATGTGCTTTATTTAATGCACATCCTATGTTAACAGAAACTCGCATGTGCTGTGTATTTCTCCCACCTGAAATTTATCAGGGCAACTCTAGCTGTTATAAGCAAAAATGAAGCAAATCCTTTTTTCTAGAAACAAAAATCTACTGAGGTAAAGAACTATCCTTAAAATTGTTGGTAAATTTGGATTTCCAGTAAGAAAGGAAATACCTATCTATCAAATGTTAGGTTCATCTCTGTTACTGGTTCTAGAAACACAGGAATCCATGGAGATCTAAGTCTATACACTGGTAATACCAGTGAACTCTAAAAATGTGACATGTCTCTGACCCAGACTTCTTTACTGGCCTCTTATCTGGTTTTCACACACCTCTTCTTGCTCACTTCCAATTCATTCTCCACACTTTTACAAGTGACTTCTAAAAATAAAAATTGAATCAGGTCACGACTATACTTCTGAGCCCAAAACATGACGTTCCTTTCCCCCTAGGGTAAATGCCTACGAGCCTGGCACGTTTATCCACTCTACCTCTCCAGCTTTACCGTGCAGCCTGCTCCCCCTTGTGGCCACGAATTAAACATTTACATGGATTAATTCACATTAATCCTCTTGACACCCAAATGAATTAGGTCTACCATTATTATACTTCCCCCACAGTGACTTTATACAGGTAGATTCTTCTGCCTGCAGTTTCCTGCCTTACCCTTCACCTAATTTTACTTAGCTCCTACCAACTTCAGATAAGAACTCTGATATTACTTCTCCAAGATGGCTCTTCTAGTCCCCCACCTCAAAGACTAGTTCAGGTTTAACTGCCGTATATTCTTATGTTTCAGTGAGCTTTTCCTTCACAGACGGCTCATAGCCTTCCCTTTCCCCATCCACCCAATGGTTTCTGTCAACGCCATCTTCCCCACTGGACTGCAGGCTCCCTGAGAGCAGCATCTAACTGCTCTTTTCTTTCCTGTGTTGTAGCACCCAGGCCAGTCCCACGGATTGCTGCTTCCTCAGGTATTAAAGAAGGCAGGTTGGCAGCAGAGCCCCGCACCCTCCAGGTGGGGGTCTGCAGAAAGACGCTGCTCAGCCCGACGCTCTCCTACCTGCCGGCCATGGCTTTGTAGTAAGCAAAGATCTGGTCTGCCAGCTTGTAGACAAACTGATCAAAACACAGGTTCACCTGGTGAGGAGGAAGCAAGAATGTCAGTGGCGTCCGTCTACGTTATTACAGAAACGCAGGCAAAGGAGACAGGGCATCTGGGCAGGACTGCCCAGAGCGTGTCTGCGCAAGGTGCTTGGAAGGGAAACATTGAACGCTGTGGCCAGGTGAGTTGGGGAAGTTTCCTTCCTTGTTCTCGAGGTCCTCAGCAGAGCAGATCAAGTTCAGACAGGCTGTTGAGAAACTGACCTCCCCAACGCTGCCCCTTCTTGACGAATGCAGCCGATGGGCCTCCATACCCCGTAGTTATCCATCCAGGTTGCATATCTTTTATCCGAAGTGACTGGGACCATGAGTTTTTTTGGATGTCATTTTTTTTTTCGGATTTTGGAATATTTATAAATAGGAAATGAGATAACTTTTAGGCATGAGACCCAAGTCTGAACATGAAATTCCCTTATGGTTCCTATCTATCTTATACAAATAGCCTGACTATAAATTTATATGGTATTTTTGTACTGCAGTGTTTTTAACTGTGACTCATCAAAGCGAGGTCAGGTGTGGGATTTTCTACTTCTATTGGGTTCTTGGGAAAGTCCTGACACATTTTTGCATAGAAAAATACATCATGATTTTCCGACCAACCTAATAGCATCATGTCAGCACTCACAGAGTTTCAGATTTTAGAGCATTTCAGACTTCCTAATGAGGGATGCTCGACCTGTATGAGTCAGCTAACCCTCCAGCCTTCCTGTCCACCTCCTCTCTTCTCCTTTCCTTTTACTTTGCTTTTCAAATTTGATTATGAAGAAGCTGATGGTCATTAGAAATTTAAAAACCCCCTTTTTCAAACGTTGCTTAAGCCCTTCTGTTTTTTAATGTGCAAAGTCTTGCCATTTCAGTGTTCTTATTATGTCAGTGTAAATTGTGATGCTCAGGTGAGAAGATAAGGGCACGCTAGACATACAGAATCCAAACCAAATCCTGTGCAATGGCAGTGCCAGCTCTGTGATGCTGGAAGCCACATGGAAGACCAGGGTTTGGCTCCTGGTTCAACCCGTGCATGTTAGGTGTGCCTGTCTGTGATCCTGGTTGGCTGGGAAGGCTTGGGGAGGAAAGACACAAGAGACCATTCTGAGAGTGCTTGTCTCTCTCTCTCATAAAACAAATAAAACTTAAAACAAACAAAAAAAACCAATTTCTCCAGTGATAGCACGAGCAGAAATGGCCAAGGGTGAGACTTCAAAGAAATGGAGTGGTGGCAGCAGAGGGCACAGTATAACTTCAAAGGAAGCACATCAGGTTTAGGTGATTCATCTTTGATTCTTGGCTTCCTAAGGTTAATGCTTTATTCAAAGGCCCTTCACATCTTTCATCTTCCATGCACGTATTATACAGAACACAAATATAGTGTTGCATGTAATGCTGTCCTCATACCCTTGGTAGCAGGCCCCTGCCCTGGGCTTTGAGCTTCAAGAATCCCCAGCAGACCCTCCTTCAGGCAAAGAATCTACAGGGTCTAAGTGGGGGTATTCACTCACACCCCATCCCCCTTCTAGGGCCAGGTCTGGGTAGCCTTGCCCAAACTATACATGGCCCAAGCCCCTTCCAGGGCTATGTGTTCATTTCCCTGGGTCCACCTCCCTGAGGGGGGACTGTACTCCAGGTACCGCTAGATCTTCAGGTTGGCCATGAGGTCATTGTAAGCAGACATGGCAGACAAGGCTTGGGTATTCACACGTGTGCCCTTCATGGTACAGGGTTGCGGATGGGAAGAGAAGGGAGCAGACCACAAACTGGGGGTCTCCACTGTACTTCTGCCCATTGCCCTCAAGTGTTACACAGGTCCCTTGTGATGATCACGATGGTTCTGAAGCTCCCTTCTCCAGTCCCCACTTTGTGCTAATAGTGAGAGATTTGACACGTCTGGAACTTGGGAACACAATTACAGGAACAAGAGGAGAAGCACATACCTCAGCTTCAATCTCATCGTACAGGAACTGCTTTTTAAACTTGGTCAGCGCATAGTAGGCACTGTCATTGTACAGGTCCAAAGGGTAGAGCACGTACCTGGAGAGGCAAAGACAAGGGCTAGCAGCGTACAATGATCAGCCTTAAGGAAGATGGCTCTACACTTGCTTGGGAAATCGAGCTGGGTGAGGAGAAGAGGAAGTTCAGAGTTAGGAAAGACAAGCTTCCAGCCCCTTCAGATTCCCATAATTCCACCACTCAGGAATGACTTCCTTTATGGTCTGCCCAAAGAAATCAGAAGTCCATAATGGAAGAAAACCAAGGCCTGAATAAAGTAGTCTGGGATTAAAAGAAATCAGGAGGCAGTGAAGAATATTAGCTTTTGATCCCAGAGGCGATTGTTTTCTAAGCACAGCTATCATGGGGCTGACAAAGTCTAGGAAGGGCAGGTGTGCTGGAAGACTTCAGAGTCTGTCTTCGAAGCTGAGTCACATGGCATCGTGTGGCCTGATCCCAGCCTGAGCTCTCCTCCTCGTGGGCATACTGCCTCATCTTTATCAGCTCAGACTCCCTTAGGCAAAGAACAGAGCTCGCTGGCAAACTTTCCTGCACCCTGGGAGCCCCTGGCTGACCCCAGGCCTGCTTCTTACTCCATCATGGAAGGTTCTTTGGTTTCAAGGATATGGTCGGTTAGGATCCAGGGCATGGACATCTCAATGGGGAACTGGATTCGTCGGCCCATAGTTAATTCCAGGAAGAATTCTCGGAACCAGAGCTGGGACAGGTCGCAACACTGCTGCAGGGCTTCTGAAAGGACAAGGGAAAG